TCTTCTGGTGTGCAAACATACACACAGATATGTATGTATGTATGTATGTATGTATGTATGTATGTATGTATGTATGTATATAGGCTGTAACGATAACTCTTTCTGCCAACTGCCTGAGTTCCACCACCACGTTAGGGCTCCCAAATAACACAGAGAGTCTTATATTAGTTACAATGCTGCTGGCCAATGACTAGGATTTCTCATTTGCTAGCTATGTCTTAATTATCAACCGTAATCATTAATCTATATATTTTGTAAAGACTTATCGAGGACGCCAGCGGTGTGCGTCCTCTCTCCCCTGGGATCACACGGCTACTCCTCTCTTCCTACATTTCCCAGAATCCTCCTTCTCTCCTAGTCCTGCTTAACTTGCTTACCTATTGGCCAACAATGCTTTATTTATCAACCAATAAGACAAACATATCACAGAAGGACCTCCCCCATCAACAGACCCTTTCAGATCTTCAGATTTAGGAAGCAGTACTCTGTGCCCGAGGAAGTGTTGTTTCTGTGGGATTGTTTCCTATCTGAGTGAAGGATGATCCCCACTATGTGTCCTCTGAGCCACTTCTGGTTCCATAAAATAGCAGCTGCTGGTGGGGGAAAAAAGAAAAGGCCTTTTACCATACTAACCAGCCTCATTTTGCAGCCCATCCCATTTTCTTCCTCTTTTCTGCCTTACTCTCCTAAACTCTCCAGGGTCAATGATAAACAGGGTGGGCCAGGTGTAGTGCACATACCTGTAATCTCAGCAATCAGGTAATAGAGGCAAGGGGATCAAGAATGCACAGGTTAGTTTTCCCAGAAGTTTACCTACTGGGATGTAATGTGAGATCCTCAAGGAGCAGGGATAAATATGGACATGCAGCTGTCTATGTAATGGAAGACATTCTTTTGGCACCTCCCTAGGAGTGGGATAGCTGGGTCATAGGGAGCTCTGGTGTTAGTTCTTTGAGAAGCCTCCACATTTCTTTAGTGGCTATACTCATGTACTCCAGCTGAGAATAAGAGTTCCTCTTTCCCCATATCCTCACCAGTACTTACTGTCATTTTCCTGATTACCATTCTTACCAGAATAAGATGGAGTCTCAGAATAGTTGTGATACACGTATACAGTAGAACTTTATTGAGCAATAAGAAAAATGAGATTATGAAATTTTCAGGAAAATGGATAGAATTGGAAAACATTACTTAAGTGAAGTAACCCCAGCTCAAAAAGACAT